CCAGCTAAAATGCCATCAATGTCCATTAACTGTTTCCCCAAACATACATTATTTCAAACCTTGAGTCTGTGTCTCTTCCTCCTGTGGTCAACTTTCCTCCAATGTGGAACAGTGCTCGTCTGTGGGTTCACCTTTTCCTGCAGCAGTGTTCTTAGCAGTTACACCTACCTGTCTCCTATTTTCAGACAGAGGTATCTCTCCCAGGACCTTCTGTTTTGAGAAGCTTCCTTACCCTTCTTATTTTCAAGTGTGTGTTATGAAAGTTCTGTAGATTTGAAGTCTGGAGAGAGAAGACAGCCATTTTCCTAACCTGTCCTACTTAATTCAAAAACAGTCCTCCAACCTCCATACAATGTACTACTTGGGAATGCTATATGATAATACTTCTAAGACAGCTTGATTGGCTATTTCCTTTACATCAAGCTCAAGTTTAACTTCTCAAAACTCTTCTCATTGGTCCTAATTCTACCCAATCTGTATTTCATATACTATATCTAATTTGAAGATAACTCTCATGTCTTCCCTATTAGTTCTTCTTTTCAAGCCAAGAACACACAATTTCTTTCAAAATTCCTCTACTGGTCGTAGAAATCCTTTACCATGTTTGTTGTTGCCTACTTCTTAACCTGGTTTTTACATCAGAGTTTGTCAATGTGCTCTTCCAGAACTGAACTCTCCAGAGTTCAGTAGGACTGTGATCTCCCTTGTCTGCATGGTCTATTGCTTGAGCACAATTCAACGTCCTCTTGTCATTCTTAGGCACATACTGGGTAACACTATATCCCTTTCCTACTTTGCTCAGTCGAGCCCATTCTCCTGCTCCCCTCTTCTACACTTTCACACTTGCTTGGGGGCACTTAAAATCAGTATTTTATAAGAATTCCTATTAAATTTCATATTATTCTCAGGCAAAGGCCACAGATAACATCAGGGACAAACACTCCTATCTCTTAGCAGTCCCCCTCATTGCTCCCTGGACTGAACATTTGGGGAAAAAAGGAACTCTGTTTTAGGAACATTACTCCAACACTTTCACTGACTCTCTAGAACCGCTGAATAGAGCCATCAATTTGGAAAATCCATTGTCTTGTCTGACTCCTTTAAACATTTTTTGGTTGACTGAATGTCATTTATCTATGGAACACCCTCCCTCCACTGTTGAGAAGTCAATAACTATATTCAACTTGTTGCACAACTCTATTATGTTTTACACAATATAATTAGGTTTCTTTCTCTATTAGAAAAAAGTGCTATCCCTCTTAAGATCATATAGTGAACAAGTTAAACTTTCTACATATGTATAAAAAATGTACATAGCTTTTTGTAGGTATCCATAGATCCCGATCAGCTTTCTCAACCCACTCACCCTCCAGCTGACAGCAGTATAAGAAACAACACAGTCAGGTGGCAAGAACACTTACCAGAGTATTACCCATCTTTGAAAGTGAAACTCACACAACCAACCTACATTCATAACAATAAAAACAATATCCCTTCTCTGCTGCCTTCAACAGAAGCTTAGATTCTAAATTAGAGAGTATATTATGTTCTTTTAAGATTTAATAAAGAAGGTAAGATGGAAAATAACCTCCAAATGTAGAATATCAGTGCACCTCCAAAGAAAAAGGCTGCGCAGTTTATTTCAGAAGCATGTTTTCCCTGCTGCAGCTTTCATAATTTGCACCAAGTTACTGTTTTGTCTTTTAAGGCGTAAAATTTTTAAAAGGTCAAATTCAAGTTGGGTACTCAAAGTCAAAATGAAATAATTATCTGATTAACTCAATTAGCTAGCCTACATCATTAAGATTCTTTTTTTTTTTTCAGGTAGCTTTTTTAAAAGTCACCATCTACATTATTTCCACAACTTTCCTTTTCATTTCAACTAAGAAATGTATTATTTTGGAAAGAACCTTATGGATGTAATATCAAAGATTTTCCATGCAACGCTTTGGGGGAGGAGGGAATTTTTACCACTGCCTTTTAATTTTCCCCACTGTAAGGACTGTGCTTAAATAGCCTATTAAACTCTTTACTGCATGTGAGAAGGGCAGCGGATGAATGATTGCTTCCACATTGCAACAGGCAGTCAATCCTGAGTCACATCTAAGAAAAACTAAATCATTATTACACAAATGAATCGTGTTAAGAGTAAAAAGATTATTTCACTTGCTTAGTTACAAATGTGATCTGCTCCCACGCCTTTGGAAAGAGTGAAGTCAACATTGTGAAACAATGATGAGTGCCATCAACTTTGTCAGTTATTAAAATTTTTAGTATAAACCTTCATTTTGGCTGTCCAAGTGAAACTTAATACAAGTTTACTAGGACAGTTCATTTTCCTTCTTTTGTACCATGGAAAATAACTTAAAAGCTTGGGCATAAATGTTGCTCTTATTATTAACAAAGAAAAAAAATCTAGTAAATGCCTTTACTAAAAAGGATTGTGCAAATGTAAACCTCATTAACTGTGCCTTGGTATCATAGTTATTTATGTACAATTCTTTATTGACAACATAACTCTATCATTTCATTATTAGTTTCTGCCAATATGAGTGGACATTATAAACAAGAAAATAAGAAATTCATTTCAGAGCTATAACTAACAATATGAGACCGCACTGCTTATTAAAAACACTTGTGGGATCTCCATGCTGTCTTAAAAGCCAACTTGAGAAGGGAAGACAAACCAAGTGTAATATTTTCTATCAGTGCAGCACTGATTTTCAGCTTGTATGTTTATTCAAAGAATGAAAGATAAACACAAGATTTTAAACCTCCAGTGATAAACGACATAATTTATAACAGTTATGCAAAAGGCACAAAATGGAAAGGATTGAGAAATAGATGGAAGAAAATGAGAGATGTTTAAAGTAATCATTCAAGCAGTCAAGAAGGTGAAATTATCTAAGAAATGTCTTCATCACTACTTTATGTGTTCTTTTCATTAAACTGGCCCAACATTACTTTTTCCCATTTGTTAAACTGACCCAAACTTTTATGGCTTAGAGACTCTTAAAACACCACTGCAAAATAAATAAAACACATACTCATGCATACATACATACATGAACATCCACCCATTATATGAAATTGTTTTGCCCATTTTCACTTACCTGAATTGTACCACTCGAGATTTTATATCAAGGTGAAATAAATAGAATTAAGGGTAGGATCTCTTTAAAGTTCATCTCCAGGAGAGGCAATTCCACAAAAATGCCACTGTGATATGGTGTTAGATATTCAGGGTTTAAGTCTACTCCAGACATCTTTGCCTGCCACACTAATATCTGGTGATAAATGTCTCGTTAATTTGCACAACAGTTTTCAATTGCCCTCATAGCAGACCACCTTGAAGGAGCGAGTAAAAGGGTTAGTCATGGTTTCTATTTTTCTATTTGAATTGAATGCATTCTAGTTAAATGGACAATTAATAGGTCACTTCCAAAATAGTAGTATATCAGTCCTGGTTAATAAACAATCCACACAGTTGATAATGGGCCCTATGTATTCAGCAAGTCCCTGTATACACTCAGCTCATCCACTAAATCCCTTTTCAGGTGAACAGGGTTATATGGGAAGATGAGCTAGAATGAGTCTATAAAAGTCAGTTTCATTCACTGCTTTATTTTTCAGTCAAGTGCTTTAAATGGTGTCCAGAAATTCACTCGGAATGAGAGACAGGAGAAAAGACTGACGCACAGAGCCTTGCTTTATGACCATACAAAAGGGCAACTGACCCTTGCCCAAGCCTTTTCCATGTGAAATGCTCCCAAAAGTTCATCTGCAGAGTGAAAAATCGTAGTGAGGTCGCGTGTGGATGAGTCAAGTGAAAGTGACGATTGGTCACGGGTCTGTCACCCATTGTGGCTGGGTCCCAGCCATGTAAAGTGCTCTGTGGGAAAGTATCACCCCCTAAAGAGAGGCTCAGAAGCTTGCAGCTCATTAAACAGCCAGCATTTGCTGCCTCACTTGTCAGGAATCATTCTGTCGGGCAACTGCTCTCCTGAAACATTCAAAAAACACATGCACTGAGGCAGTAGGGTCTGAATTCAAGCGTGATAGAGCTCTGTAGTTTAGCCTGACCCAACTCTTACTTCACTTTCACCAGACAGGGCTGTTAACCTGCATAATTTTTCTCTTGGACAATTGAAATAAGTGTATCCCATCCACTGAACTTCCTTACCCTAAACCCAAATTCTCTGCCTACATGTTCTTATCCAACCTACCTAGCTATCTCAAGACCAAATTGGACTTTGTTTTCTGTTAGATACTTGTCTTTGCATGTGACAGTGTGTGCATCCATGTTGTAAATCTAGGAAAATCTGTCATGCTTACTTCGCCTCTAGACACTATTAAAATTGTGCTTTTGTAAGGTTTAAAGAACATTCTCTTGAAAACATTTCCTGTAGCTCTGGCTGGTTTTCTTCAAGATGATAAAGAGGAGGTATTTATCTCCTTGTATGGTCTTGATGATTTTTAATTATTTTCTACAGACACCTAGTGACTTTCAGTGTGACATTTTAAACTGAATGGAAATCTGATACAGAACAAATTTTTTCACCTTTTTCCTTTCCTCTCTCTTTTTTAAAGGAGTGTTGCAAAGGGCTGAGGATGCAGTTCAGTGGTTAAGTGCCTGCCTAGCATGGGCAAGGTCCTGGGTTTGATCCCTGGCAGCACAAGAAAACAAAGGAATGTTGCTACACATTTCAGAAAGAGCCAGACTGGTCCCTCCAAACCCTTTTATATCAAATGGAAAACAAGTCACTTTCCTTGGTGTGTCAGCTCTGGATTTCAATGCCATTAGAAACCACTCACAATTGCTCACTGTGCTGGGGTTTGATAAATCTCTGGAAACCTCCTGAATAGGATCGCTGTGATTTTTGGTGAGGAATTAGCTCCTTGCCTTTGCATTACCAATTAGTTTCCCTGAGCACATTAAATCCTGCTGCTTTGGTTTGCAGACTAACTGAGGCATTGCTGATGAAGCATTAAAAACTTACTTGGAAAGGTGGTGGGGGAAGCAGGGCGCCGACAGGACCCACCGCAGCACGCGGAGTAGAATGGAGGGGTGCTCAGAAGAAAAGGTTTGGAAGGCCCTGCGGAGAAAGCATTGATCTCACTGATGAGTCATTTCTTTTAGACAATATTCAAAATTCCACTTTCCTAAAAGTCACTGAGTAAAAGCACTCCATTTTCTGAGCCTTTGCTCAGTTATAACTTGTACTGAAACTAAAGACATTTAAAGTAGCTTCATCTGCCAAAGTGCTTGCCAAATAATTTCATCAGGATTGGGAAGATGTGGTGGGAAGACACAAACTACCAAACACCAAGCTTACTAGTTCCCTTCCTGTGTGGTCATCATAGCAAGTAGTAGCTATCTAATATTGCAACCCCAAGAGCAACCCTATCCAAGAGAATACCTAGGAATTATTTATATCTTCTTTGACCAATTTGGAATCTACCAGTCATATGCAATTACTGACCTCTTGAAAGGTGGTGAGCTTGACTAGATAACTGAATTTTTAATTCAGATTAATTTAAATTTAAAGAAACTCATGGGGCTAGGGATCATGATACTATTTAATTAGTGCAGTTCTAAATTTTCTATTTACCAAGAAACAATTTAAATGTTATGTGCTTAAGTTTAATTTTAAAAGAGATTACATCACTTTATACATTTACATGTGTTCATTTTTAGAAGGTTATTTGAAATATATAGTTAGATTTCCAACTTAATGATAGCTACTTTACTAAGCCATTTCATAACAAAAAGTGGTGTTTCTGATCAAATTTGTATTTTAAAGTATTTGAGAATATTTGTTTACAGTATAGTGAGTTGCTGTATAATTCTGTTCTGCTAATTTTATTAAACTATACTATCCATAACTTTTTCTTAAAATTTTTCTTTAAAATTTCATATGCATGGAACAGTTATGACTATTCTTGTAACAAAGCTATGAAAGGAAGACCCATTTTGGTGTTTAAAATGTCCTATAATTTTTTTACTGTTATAAGTTGACTTACGATATTTTGACTATAATACCATCATACAAGTGACAGAATTCATTTGAATTTAATATTTAAGAGAAATTTTGAACTCCATTCTCTAGTATATGAAGAAATAATTTAAAATGATATCACAGAACGTGTACAAGAACTCTCCTTTCTGGAGAACTTACTACCAGGCTGTGGTTAAGTGCCTTACCTATGACATTTCATAAGATTGTATGCTAGTAATAGCATTAAAATAATAATTCAAGGTATATATAAATTAAAATTTTCCTTGTCTAGCCAAAATGTTTCTCATTCTAATTCTGTGGCCCTAAAAATGGGGAAATAAAGAATAAAAAGAATAGAGAGTCAGTTAAATTCATTTTTTATAAATGTGGTTTGAGGATTGAAGTCTGATTTTACTATTAAATTTAACCAGAAAAAATTTTAATTGAACAGTCTGTTATTTTGCTACACATTACCATTTACTACAGCTACAATCAAAAGGACAGCATCAAAATTTGTAATTAAAATATGTAATCAAAATCTTTTTAAGTAACAATTGTAGTTTGGCTAAAGAGCCAGCTTTCACACTCTTGATATAACCAGGCTTCAAGTTCTATTATGTTAGGATTTCTTCACCATCTTAAATCATCTCTTTGACACACATATTTACACAAGACATTAGTCAATTCCTGATGCCATACATAAATACACCTTGTTTAAGCTGGTTTATGTGGAAATCACTGTGAAATTTCAATTAAGTGCGCCTTTTTTTTCACATGCTCCTACTCTGACATGAATCAAACACTAGTCCATCTGAGCATGTGACTGCAGGAGTGCTGCATAGTGACAGGAAATAAATAAGCATTTAAAATAACACAAAGCATTTAAAATATGAATTATACCTCTAATATCTGTACACATACTTTTTAAAAGCAATGAGCAACACAAGCTTGATGAAAATGTGTGACAAGTAGACAGATGTATAAAAAACTTTTGTAAGCTCTTACAAACTACTTTGAAGATGCTTTGAAAAAAGGCAGGAAAAAATTAATCCTGGAAGATATGCATTTCAAACCCCACCCATGAAATGTGGGTGTGGTTACCTCATCCTTTATCACATCAGCAATGATTCATGGCATAACAGTAATTATAATAATATCAATTAAGGAGTGCTTACCACTTACTAGGCACTGGACTGCCTGTGAATTTAACTCAAGATTTTCATTCATTCATTAACATTCAACCTCAAATGGATAGGAATCTGTAATGTGAGTATGATTGCTTTTGGCAAGTTTAAAAACAGGGAAAATAAATAATAAATATTTTAGTATAGTTATTGGGTATTAGTATTAGTTATTGGGAAGGGTAGATATTTCATGCAGAGACTCTGCAAGTTACTTGATAAAAGTTGTGTAAAATGGACAAGATTTCCAATCTCCCAGGATTCTCATGACAGAAAAATGACCTTTCCTATAGAAAAAAAATGTATACAGGCCAGGTTCTACAGCATGAAGTTAGGCTGTACTAGTATGACATTTTAGAATACTGCAAATATCCCACCAACAAATCTAGCCTCCAGTATCTGTAGGAAACAAGTTACAAGTCAAGAACAAAATGACTTAAAATACCTGGAACTAAATCAAGGCCTGTCTGAATCTGAATGACCCAAGTAAAACATTCACAGAAAACTTCAGGAGCTTTTGACACTTCTTAATCAGATGTTCTTGCTTATTTGAAGTCACAGAGTATTTTTTAATTATTTTGAATATTTAGTGAAGATTGGAACCTATAGCCAACCTAATAGAGAAATTGCCAAATAGGTGGTTATATAAATGTCCCAAGGCTAAGAATGATTGCAGGTCTAGCTACAGAGACATTATTTTCCAAACTCTCTTGTCTAGAAAGCAATACTTTTAAACTTTTTTTTGGTATTATTATTCTTTATTGATGGCAAAAAAAACTACAAGAATATAAATGGTATGAAAGCAATTCTTTTTATTATCAATGCAAACTGTGATACTAATTGACTTGAGGTGCCATTTCAAAGAAAGAATAGTAAGGATCATGATAAATCCTTGAAATAAATTTCAGGAGTTCTTTGCAATGCTGTGTACATTGGACAGCACATTTTAAGAAGAATGGGGGGAAATGAGAGAAGTTTTGAAGATAATTTACTACGGTTAAAAAAAAGAACTTCTAAGAAAGAGTAACAGGGAATTAAATAATTTCTAAAGAATCATTTTAATGACGTATTTCAAGTGCCAGGTGCCTAAGCACTGGAAATAAAGAAATCTAAACGTCTGACTTTCAAGATGGTTTCAAATGATGCACAACTGAATGAACACAAAGATGAAATTTTAAAGAATGGCAATAAGCTGTCTTAAGTAGTTACACCTAAGCAACTCCAATTCTCTTATTGGGGTTTGGTGTATTTTATCCTACAGCCAATCTAGAAGTCATTAATTTATGTGATCTAATTGCAAACCTTGCCTTCAATCAGCAGGGAAAACAGCTAGGTAATTTAATCCTTTATCCTTTTATTCATCAGAAGTCAGCATTTTTTGCTCAAAAGTATTTGGCAGACATAAAAACATATTTAGGTTTTTATTATTATGTCCTTCTAGTTCAAGGCAAACAATATGTATTGCTATCTACCAGTGCTGTCACTGGGACTACAAAGATGAAAAAGGATAGTTTCCCTTGAGTTGCACTTCCGGCCCTTTTTGCTCTAGTTATTTTTCATATAGGATCTCATGGTGTTTTCCCAAAGTCTTCCTTACATCCAGATGCTCCCACCTCTGTCTCTCACGTAGCTGGGATTACAGATATGTACCACCATGCCCAGCCCCCTCCCACTTTTTTTAATGTTCTTTCACTTATGCATTGAATTTGCTAAGGAAGGAGGGATTGAGGGAGGGGAAGGAGGGAGGGAAGGAGGGGAAGGAGGGAGGGAAGAAGGGGGAAGGAAGGAAGGAAGGAAGGAAATTTCTCAGTACTCCATCTTGAATTTTGTTCTGTCAAACCTAATGTACTTTCCAGGATGATGAAATTCAAGCATTTCATACTGTGTCCTAACCAAAGGTTCTCAATCGTAACACACATTCAAATTTTCTGGGCTACATTTCAAAGGTACAGATGCCTGGACCCCCACACCAATTTGATTTAATCGGGCCCACTAGGACTGGACCCCTAGATCCCTAGCATAGCATTATTATAATGGCTAGCCAGAATGAGATCACTGAAAAGAACATAAAACAATGCCTGATACACAACAGGCACTCAATAAATGTTAGCCTTCCTCCTGCCAGGATTATATATAATTCGAAGTCTACAGTAAGACAACATGTAAAAAGAAGCAACGTGGTCCAGACTTCTACTGAAATGTAGAAGCAAGTAAAAACAAAAGAATATTGATAGAAAGATTTGGCCAAGAGAAGTTTTGGGGTTAAAAAAAACATTTTTTTTTCATTTTTATTAACATATATTCATTGTACAAGGGGGGATTCATTGTGCCAATTTCTAATAGCTTTACACTGTACATTGACTAGATCACCCCACCATCTCCCCCACAACTGCAACCCCTTCTCCACCCCCACTTAGAGCAGTTGCAAGAGGTTTCCTCATTCTAGTTAATATATGTATATGAAGCCCATCAACCATATTCCTTTAGCAGGAGGAACACCTTACTTTGGAACTCCCTTTGGAAAGTTCTTGGAATGACCAAAGAAAATAAAGAAGGCAATCCAAAAAAGAAAGGTATATGAACACAAGAAAAGATGGCTAGTGATCCAGACAGGTCAAGGAAACCAGTCTGGCTACTGAGACAAGATCAAAGGAACAAACATTTCTATATATATATAATAAAATAAAAGAGTTAATATATCTGATGAAGAGCTTAAAGGCCAAAGTGAGTATTTCCATTTGATCTAGAATCAAATAATTTTATGTTTCCCTGAGTAGGGTGGTGATAAGACAAGAGCTATCTTTTAAGAAAATTCACCTGGCAGTGGTAGTAGAGCTGCAGTAGAATAAGGAAGGGCCAAAGGGAAGGCTTCCGTCCCACTGCGATAACACTTTGTTGTAGCAATCAGCAGCAATA